GAAACACTCGACCCATATTTTTCCATATCAATCACATCCCCAATGTTTTAAATCTCCTCCCCTTAAATATTCTGCTTATTAAAGGAGAGGCTCGATAGAAAGCGAAGATGGAGAACATGGAGGTGTGCAGAAGCCATCACAAAAGCAAACTCAAGCTCCCATCAAAATCTGAGTCGGACCTCAACGCGACATCAAAGAGACATGAACGGAGGTATGCAATTATTTTATTTCATGTTTAACAAGCTAGGGTTTAGTTGCTGTTTAATTTGATTCAATTTTCTTCTAAAAATTAGGAAAAAGAAACTCCGGTTGGAGAAGTGTTCGTCTTCCGGGGGTGTGCGAGCGAACCATGAACGGAAAGTTTCACGGTAAAATTTAATCTAAGTATTGTTTATTTGCAATTATGAAATTTGGTGGTTATTTAGTCGAGATTCGAGGAGTCCTCCAATTAGTGTCTTGGTGTTGTTTTACGTGTTTCACTGCTAATATACGGTGCTGTGGACCTTGTTTAATGATTTTTTTCCCTCCTGTTCCCTTAGCACTTAAATTTTCTAGGCATTTTTGTCTTGATTAAGTTTATCGGAGCTAATGACCAATATTTTTCAATTTCTGGTCCCTTATTCTCATCTCCCTGAGTTATGACAATTCTGGATATGCATTTTCTTGTATGTTTGCATGTATATCCAGGTACCTTATGCTGAATGTGGATGTTTTTGTTGCTTAACTAACCATTTTTGTATAGCTCATAGGAACAAGGAACAAGGAACACTGAACCCCGAGTTATTGCACACAGAATTATAAACGAAGGTAGCTCATAGGAAGACTTACATAGATGAGGTCTATATCTTACTGGGTTTCGGTTTATTGGTATTCTTGCTTTGTTTCCCTCATAACGAAATGAGATAGTTTTGTTTTTTTTTCTGTATACGAGCTTTTAATGTATACATGCTTACATTTGGTGTATGGATGCAGCAATCTGAATGTAAGATGAAGTGGAATTAAATGAACTTAGTATCACACTACTCTTAATGTTATAGATCACGGCATGGCTTTTAATTATATGCGCCTACAGTCTAATATGTGATTGTTGATATCATTATGTGGATTTTTGTGACTACAAAGGATAAACAAACATTTCAGTATGTTGTTTGATTCTAATGCATTGATTATAAAATATGTGATGCGAAAAGAAAACTGATTTTAGTGAGAACGACATAAATTTAAATGTTGGGGTGAGCTGGATATTTGGAAAAGTGGATTTTTTTCCCTAGGGTTATCTTTATTTCTATTTTTTCTAAATGAAACAGGAGAAGGAAAATCAGGCCAGAGCCGCAATGCTCTCATGAGGGAATCGGAATTGTACTGGAAGATGCATTAGAGATCTCATGGTAAATGTTCATTATTTTACATTGTGGTTCATTATTGTATATTCTGCTTTATTCGGTGCTCAAGTGATGGGAAATGCTTTTGTACCTTTCAAAATTTATCATTTTAATGTAAAAGTTATCCTGTTCATGAAAAAGTAC